TTCGCCTAAGCCATCAGCTTGCCACTTGTACCCTGCACGGTGTAGATCTGGAAAGAAATAAGGCAGTCGAAGATCTTGGCATTTTACTCGATGCAAAACTTAAGTTTTTTATCAGGAATCGACAAACACTCGCTAGCCACCGGAAAATCTCGAGTTGACGGACCCTTCTACAAAAGTCAGCGCATTGACTTGCTTATTGGAGCAAGTGTATTTTTTGAGCTTATTTGTATTGGACAAATTCGTTTAAGAAATCATTTACCACCCTGCAGAAAACCAGGCATGGCTGAATCATCTCAGGGTGACTAAATTGGGAGACTAATTTAGGAACCCAGCACTCAGTCGGAATCAGAGTCGATTTCTGATACACTAAAGAGATTTTGAAAAATCGACAGTGGCCCAGATTCTACTCCCTGCCAAAACCAGTTTCGATGTTTTAGGAAATTTATATGATCGTACGGTCCTTTGATTTACAGCACTCGAGGCTAAATTAGGTAGAAATATAGATCTAAAGTCCCAGTACACAGTTCACAATTGTGTAGCCATTGGTTCTCCAACGACCCTGCAGCGCTAGAAGGAGTATATGTCTCGGATCCGGAAAAGACATTGAAGTTTCACTACGGAACAGATGTTGCAAAGGCGTTGGGCCTAGCTTGGAAAACACTGTCTGATAATTTTCTCTTCAGTTTCTCCAGCGGGTGGACAGACCAGTCCGCAACCAAGAGCAGCATTATTTCGACAACCGCTAGATTCTACGATCGACTTGGATTAATATCCCCGATCATCACCAAACTAAATATTTTTATACAGGTCCTCTGGAAAAATAAGCTTGACTGGTCACAGATCGCAAGCGTTGCTTGTTTAAAACATCCCCGCTTTGTTTTACAGCATAACTCATCTTTCGAAATTCATGGAAATCAAATCTTTCGGCCTGTTTAGTCATTTCATTTCATTGCAACTCCTACTGTTTAGATATATTCAATAACAACTTAAATAATTGCTCATATAGTTGCATACATTTTTATAAATACGCTTAAGCTTAAGTTTACTTTGTTTACTCTTGAATTACTACTCTTAAGGAACATATGTACATATGTAAATTTACTTGTTTACTCTTGAATTGCTACTCTTAAGGTACATATGTATGTACAAATTGCGCTCTTTAATTGTTAAGCTCACTTTGTCACACATACTGGAATTTGCATGCTTACACATACACGCGCAATTATGCGAGCGCATTAGTTCTAAAGCCAAATGAATTGGAAATTAAAGATCACTTAAGAAGAACAACTGAACCATAGCGCATTAACTTTATTGTCTGTCCCGTCCGTCTAAGCGAGTTGGCCTACCGTTAGAATTCAACTTGGACCTTTAGTAGCTTGTGGCACAGGACCACTTTAGAAGGACGTTCCCGTTTTGGACATCCATTTTTTGGCGCCCCCGGGTCGACTGTTCGGCTGTTAACCGAAAGGTTGGTGGACTCTTTCCAGACGACTCTTTGGGACATCAGCAAGTTGGCCACAACTTCGGCATTTGTTGGATTTTCAATTTCCAATCTCATCTTGCGAGTTGGAACATATGGATTTTACCCTGACCAGGAGTGCACAGGTAACGAGTGAAAGTGAATTACGAGTTCTAAAGTGCTTGTTATTTAACAAACTTAATAAAATTTGTGGAAAACATTGTGCGGCAAAAATAAGAATTTTCAGGCCTACGCACATATTCATATGTATGCACTAAAGCATTAAGGTGGACCGTAATTCATTTATCACTCGGTGTAAAAATAAAACCTATAAAATTTGAAAACCAAAAATTTACGGCCTATTGAATAAAATAAATAAATTTGGCAATATATAAAAAAAAAATAATAATAATAATCGAATATAAATTGTGTGTGGTAACCTTTTGGGACCACCCTAATTGATTTGCACTTGAAGAAGCCGTTCGAGCTCATAATTTTGGTGTTCTTTGTGCCTGATTCCGTGCAAAAAAGTGCCGTTGGACTTGCGCCAATAGAGAAGTGCGCATCATTGTCGGTACAGTCGAAAATTACCGTACATTTTTTCAGTTCTCTCTTTTGTCATTTGCAATGCAAAGCAAATTACCCACCCTCGTTTGCATTAGTTTGCTTGCGCCTTGGTGCTGATGCTGCGTCGGCAGCGAATTTCTTTGTTGTTGCTTTGACTTTGTTGGCTGCGTGGACAGTGAATTTTATTCCTTTTTTGTCTTTGCATATTCGCTGCTTGGGCAGTGAACTCGGTTCTTTGATTTTGCGTTATTTGTATTGCTGCTTGGGCAGTGAAATTTAACGCTCATCTAACACACACATACACACATATATACAGTGCGTATATCGGATAGAGCGAAGAGAGAGTTTTGAGTGCGGTCGCGTTTTCAAATCGCTCCGCTTATTTGTCCAAGTTCTCACCGTAAATAAAAAGTACAGCCGGCGATCCGGCGTGGAGCATCCGGACACGCATCTGGACATCAGCTGGTGGCCAGAAGACCGTGGACGACACCTGGGAACAGCCCGGGAACTAATCCCCAACAGATTTGACGATTTTGTCCTGGGTAGAAATGTCGACGTCAGAGCGCTGACTGAGACAATGTTGATCGAGGTGAAGGACATAGACAAGATCACCGACAAGACAGACGTCCTATGCGCGGTTAAATCCCAGTTTGATGTGGAACTGCCAGAATCCGCGGTGGTAGGATTAAGGGCGGCATACGGAGGCACCCAAACCGCCACACTAAGAGTAATGCCTGACATAGGAAGACGGCTCCTGGAGAAGGGCAAGATCAGGCTAGGATGGACCTGGTGCAGAGTCCGCCCAAAGATAACACCCAAAAGGTGCTTCAAGTGTATGGAGTTTAACCATATAGCAGGGAACTGCAGGAACCAGGAGGACTGTTCGAAATGCTGCTACAATTGCGGCGCAAAGGAGCACCAAGCCAGAGGCTGCAAAGCAAAGGCCTGTTGCATGCTCTGCAAGCGCAAAAAGGAGAAAGACTGCGAACACCCAACAATGAGTGGGAAATGCCCGTACTTCAAGAAGGCCATGCAAGGACTTAGGGGCAAATGAAGTTCCTGCAGATAAACCTAAACCACTGCGAGGTTGCCCAGTCGTTGCTAGAGCAAAGTGTCACCGAACAAAACGTAGACATGGCACTCATAAGCGAGCAATACAGGAATAAAAACTCCGGAGAATGGCTAGCGAATAATAGCAAAAAATCGGCAATATGGAGCTGCGGAAACCCAATGCGCCAGATTAGCAGGAAGAAAAGCGGAAACTGCTTCGCGAGGGCTCATGTGAATGGTATAGCTTTCTACAGCTGCTACCTGCCCCCAAGCCTTACCCTTCCACAGGCAATAACTGCGCTCGAAGAGATTGCAGAAGACGCCCGGGAAAACCATCCCACCGTAATTGCCGGAGACTTCAATGCATGGGCCTCGGAGTGGGGATCACCCCGGACCAATGCGAGGGGAAAAGCGCTACTTGAGAGCTTCGCCGCATTCGACCTAGTACTGCTTAACTCTAGAACGAAACCAACCTTCTCCAGAGCCGGCACCAATTCCATCATCGACCTCACATTTGTGAGCGCTGGATTGGCACCGGGCTGCAGCTGGGAGGTTAGTGACATCTACATGGGGAGTGACCATGCAGCAATCATCTGCACGATAAAGTCTAGAAATAGCCCAACACGATTTCCAAAAACCGTGTCAGGGTACAAAGTAGAAACGCTAGACGCGGAGATGATACAGATGTTGTTCGAGGACCTCTCTACAAGCGGCTCGGCTGAAGAAAGGGCAAACCACATAGCGGACTATACCAGGCTAGCCTGCGACACATCTATGCAGGAAAAGAGGAAAAACCCTTCAAAAAGAAGACCCGCATACTGGTGGAATCGTGACATTGCGGAAGTCAGAAAAGAATGCCACAGGGCAAGACGTGCGTATCAACGATCAAGAGGAAGGCCCGAATTTGAGACCCTACAGATTGATTACAGGGAAAGGAGACGAGCTCTGGATAACGCAATAAAAGAGAGCAAACGTAGGTGCTTTAACATGATATGTGATGAAATAGACTCCAACCCATGGGGCTTCGCATATAAACTCGCCACTAAACGGCTTCGGGTATACAGCAGGCCACCGCCGACATGCCCAGCCAGTCTAAGAAGGATAGTCGAAACACTATTCCCCGTGCAAGTGAGCACGGCGCGAACGCCACCTACCGGGAATACAGCGAGCATAAAGCCCACAAGTGCCGAAGAAGTCCTCGGAATACTAGAGAAAATATTGGATGACAAGGCACCGGGACCAGATGGAGTTCCGAATAAAGTCCTCAAAATTGCAATTAGGGCAAATACAAAAGAGTACGTTGATATGTATAACGCTTGCCTAACGGAAGAAGTGTTCCCCAGACGCAGCGGTTGGTACTCATACCAAAGGGGGACAAACCGGTGGAGGAACCTTCCTCGTACAGGCCGCTATGTATGCTGGATACGGTGGGCAAAATTCTGGAAAGAATAATCCACTCCCGGCTGGAGGGTGCCCTTGCCGAAACCAACGGCCTCTCCGAGATGCAGTACGGCTTTCGGAAGGGGCTATCAACCATCTACGCCGTCGGCAAACTGTGCGAAATCGCTGATAAGGCCATTGAGGGAAAAAGGTGGTTGTACGGAAATAAGCAGTATTGCTTAGCGGCAACTCTGGATGTTAAAAATGCATTCAACTCGGCTAGCTGGCATCATACACTAAATGCACTGAGGAACCTAAGCACCCCAGCGTATGTACAGAATATAATATCGAGACCGAGGCAGTCCTAATAAGTAGCAGGCAGAAAGTGGAGACGGCTACGATACGAATCGGAGAAGCAATAATCAAGTCAAGCCCTAGTCTAAAGTACCTAGGAGTCATGATCGACCACCGGATTTCCTTTAAAGACCATTTAGCCTACGCCAGTGGGAAGGCAGGTAGAACGGCGGCCGCTATTTCGCGAGTCATGGCGAACACTCGGGGACCGAGACAACCAGGACGCAGACTACTTGTTAGCGTTGTCACATCGACGCTGATGTATGCTGCTCCCATATGGGCCCGAGCCACAAAGAATGAAAGCTACAGGCAGGATGGCGACTCTGTACAGAGATTGTGTGCCCTGCGGGTATGCTGTGCCTTCCGCACGGTATCCTATATCGCGGCAATGGTAATAGCGGGAATCATACCGATTGATCTGTTAGCAGAGGAATCTGCTAATATCCGCGCAGGTAGCACAGGGGTCGCCACCGCTGAATCCCTACGCAAAAGATGCAGAGAACTCACCATCTCTAAGTGGCAAGAGAGGTGGGTAAATAGTAGCAAAGGACGATGGACGTATAAGCTCATCCCAGATCTGCAGAGATGGCTGGGACGTAAGCATGGACATGTGGACTAATACTTAACGCAACTTCTGACAGGACACGGATGCTTTAAACACTATCTGAATAGGTTTAAGCATGAACGCTATCCGCACTGCCCACTCTGCGAGTCGGATAACGAAGACGCAGAACATGTGTTTTTTGTCTGTCCGAGATTTGAAAACGAACATCTAGATCTGAGCATAAGGGTTGGGAGGACGCCAGCCGCTTGTAACCTGGTGCAAATTATGCTTGAATCTGAAGTAAATTGGTCCGCTGTAAGCAACATGGCCACAATAGTACTCAAAAAACTGCGCATCGCAGAAAGACTGCGAAATTCCAATAGGATAGAATCCTAGAGAGCCCTAAGGGCATTCCCCCCCCGGCGAAGTAATACCTAACGGCAGTACCGCCGGGGAAGCGGGGAGGGGTGGAGTTTTTACTGGGTTTGAGTCCCAGACTTCGGCAAGCTAACCCAGCTCCGAGTTGGCTTTCGATGCTTTAAACCACCACTAAACAAA